TGGAGCAGGTGTCAGGGCCCCTGATCTGGGCTTTGGTGAGCTGTGGCTGGAGGAGGCAGGATACTGCTGAGGGCCTGATGCTGGAGGTCGGGGCAGGACGACGTAGTTGAGGGATGTTAGGGAGAAATGTGTCATCACACTCTTAGATGGAGGGTCCCCCGCTATCCCTGGCCTCGGGCAGCAGCTTGCATCACAGCGATTAGCTCCCAAACACAGACAATAACACTAGCAGCCACATTGTCATAATCACCATTATCCCTCCCTCTCCCCCACCCCACCACCATCACCATCACCACAAAACATGGCAGGGACTCATTTCTGGAAGCTTCTGCCCTCTTTTATGCAACTACAGATGAGCTGTCTGGCCATAAACATTTAGAAAAATGAAATAGCTGAGCATATAAATGGTTCTCTTTTTACATTTACAAACCAACAATAAGGTGTTCTTTGCCTTAACCATGGTCCATCCTCCTTTGTTCCATCCCTCCTCCTCTTCTCCCCTCTTTTCCCCTTCTCTCCTTCTTTCTCCCCCCCTCTGAAATGATTTATGCTGCTACAATTATTGGGTAATCTCCACTGTCATTACTCTTAACATCTGCTCTGTCCCAATGCTAAGAGCTTTTGGCTGTGCTCAGTGACACTTATTCTATGTGCTTACAGCCTTGTGATGCAGACAGATACCCCCCCCCCCCCCCCCTCCCCAACCCACCAATCCATTGCCTTCCCACTGTATGTGCTATCTGCATTAGAGAGGTGAAATGGCTTTTATATGTATGGTGGAATGATTTGCTTGTGCTGGTGTGCGCGTGAGAGAAAAGAAGAATCTAATTGGAGAGGTAGGCAGAGTTGTTAGACTTAGTTGACAGGCACTGCTGAAGTATCTAGAGGTCAAAGGCCAACTGATCTGATGAGTCAAAAGTCAAACATCAACTGAGGGGAAACCTTTTCAATATCAGATCTAGGGCTGCGGCGATTAATCGATTATGTAAATACGTCAACTTCCATTATGTGCGTCGAAGCGTCACTGCATCCGGTGTTCCCCCGGACAAGACCACACCTTCGACTGTCAAACTGAAAGTTTGGGAGGATTTTAGACACTCAACAACGTGGTTCTCCGTGAGCTTTACTGCAGCACAACTGCTGTCCACGAATATGTGAAGCGGCATGAACACATGAAGCGAAAGTATCCCGGTGCACTTTATCTAGACGGCAACGGCTGTCCCGCAAATTGTGTTTACTTTACTTTGTTTCCACACAAGCATGGCACATTATCAGCATTATCAGTATTTCTTCATCGCCTTCATGTTAAAAGTAATTTCTAACCAGTTTTTCGTAACCTTACACGTGTGTCAGCTAACGTTCGGCCGTTTTATATTTTCTGTTTATTTAACGACCACAAATGAGCGAGAAAACAGCTGAAACTAACAGTACAGACTATCTGTGTCTGTGAGTTGTTTCAGTAATTTTCTTTTCCCCACGTGCAGAAATCTGCCCGTTTGCCTGTGATTATCATACTGCATTACTCATTATTGAAATAAATCCATGTCAGAAACATTTAAAGTTTTAAGTAAAGTAGCCTATTAATGTCTGTTATTGTTATTATCACAACACATCGGCGACGTGGAAATTTGATTTATTTTAAGATATGCTGCTATTGTCATTATTCTAATGTGCTTCATCAGGATGATTGATTAAAATATTGATTTATTGATTAGACATGTTTTTGATATTGATTTTGGATAAATTGGCATGTTAATCAAGTAATAGGCAACATTTTGTTATCTTTAGAATACACAAAATTAGTCGTTAGATTAATCGACTAATCAAAAAAATAATCGTTAGATTGATCGACTTAAAAAATAATCGCTATGTACAGCCCTAATGAGATCTCACAGAGAAGGCAAAACAAACTGATATTACTTTTTCCATTCGAAACTGACAAAACTACCACCCACCATCTTGATTTCCTCGTACGCATGCACCTGTTCTCTCATGTGCTTCTGTCTGTCTGTCTCTCTGAATGAATAACAAGCAACCATCCAGCAGACAGGCAGTTAAGCAGGCTAACCTTTAGCAAGTAGGGAGAGGAACATTCAGAGATTTCCATCAGATTACCCTCTCCAGTTTCCATTGTGTGTGTTGGCCCCCTCCGCGGTATTCAACCCCCCCCCACCCACACGCAGCAAATTGGAACCATTTGGTATTCAGATAACGACAAACAGCTCAGATCTGCTGGAACAATAAGCGGGTTCTAACCAATCGCCCACCTGGACTGAGCTGTGCTAAGACAGTCTTGATAGTCTTCAGTTCTTTCACCACCACTCAATTGCCAGCGTAGGTTCCTTTTTTTCTTCTTCTAACAGCTAGCGTTTCTAAAGCCTTCCTTGTCTGATTCTGGTTTGACCTCCCTCTCCCCTCACAGCTGATTGACCTTCAGTGTCTTCACAAATCAGATATCACACTGGAGTGCCATACAAGATGAATTTGGTCTAGTGGATGTCACAAAGTGTTGTCACTTTTAGTCTGTAATGGCTCTCCATGCACTGTAGCAGTTGTCAGTGAGAGTTCATTTGTGCGTGAAACTTTCTTTGCTTCACCCCAGTGAGAGGGAATGTAATGACATGGGTCCAATACTGTGTGATTGAGATGGATGACCTGTTTTATTATCTGGGTTTTGTATGTATGTGTATGTGTGCATAAACTCCCAGAGTGCTAAGGGAACACATTGCGACCCTAGATGTATTTGGCCACCAGAGGCCATGCTGGCAAAGGCTGAAATGATGATTAAGGACAGGGGGGCTGGATGGGAAAATGTGGATTAATGAAGCTCAGATAGAATTAATAGCCATGACATCCCACAACAGCGGAGCCGCTAAATGAGAATATGTCGTGGGTCTACCAGAGTCTCAATGCCTGCTTTGCTTTCAAGGTGATGGTAGGAGTAAAGAAGGAAAAGTTGCATCTCTCAACTGACTTGTGTAACTTGTTCACACTTGATGACAGAAAAAATAAAAGCAGTGTTTCTCACAGGTGGAGAATTTAATTATGGTGGCCCCAGCACAATATCCCTAGGAATTACACTCGTAATGGACCGTTCTGCAGTGTCAGTGCCAATGCACAAAGCAGTGCGCCCTTAGCAATTCAGAAAGTAAGGTTATGATGTTTGGGCTGGCGGATGGGCGTGTGCAGTATTTCCTCACAGTCAAACAAGTAATGTTGGCTTTTCTTTTATCTGTATGATCTTTCCCCAACCTTAAAGGTGCTGGTGTCATTGCTTCCTCAATGTAATGTGTTTCCTGTTAAAACAGCATGATTGGGACATCAGACAGTGAGGAACCAATCTTAAGTGGTATGGATTGAAAGGCACTTTGATTTAATAAGACGGCAGTAAGGTGGAAGCTTAGCCATAACCAACAACTCTCCGCACTCTTAACTATATAGGAAAGGGGTAGTATTACACTTCTATAAAGGTGGGGGACTCACAAAAGACAAGCTACAAAAAAACGGTCAAAATTGAAGCAGCAGAGGCTGAGATATCCTGGCTTTTTTTTACTTTGTATTTTTGTATTTTATACTTTATTTTAAATCAATACAAGGTCATTTAATGCCACTCTGTAGCCACCACTCTGCTCAAGCTGAGATAACCCTAATTCTGGGAGACGGTGGGGTGCTCTAGCATCTCACACTTGAGCCTCGAATATATTTTGGAGCGGACGCGTACATGGACAGCTGCGGACACCATGGAGGCGGACTACTTCTGTTTATGCTACTTTGTGGAGTCAGCTTGGCGGACTTGTTCCACACAGCGCAGCTACATTGTTTGGTGCCCTGGTAGTGTAGTGGGTCACAATTAGGAGGCACGCAGATGTACGCACAGAGCCTACGCGTACACCCTCTGATCCCTTGGTACTCGACACAGAAAGTATAACACTTGCTTTAGGTGTCTGCCAGAAAACAGCATTGCATCCATGAGCTAACTTGGTAAATGTTCGGTATAGCGCCTTTCTAGTATTTCCGTCACACACTGTGAAACACAAATAGATTCAGCAATTGGGGGTTCAGTGTCTTGCCCAAGGATAATTCCACATGTAGCCTGGTGGATACAGGGATCGAACCACTGACCTGCTGATAAGTGAATGACCGCGCTACCACGATGAGAGCCACAGCCACCCCAACTTTAGGGAAGTCACATACAAGATGTTTAAATATTCAGCACTCATGGCTGCATTTTCCACAGACTTTTGACATTGCAAAAATAATATTTGGTGCAGATGCATCTATCTGGAATGGATTAAACATAGGAAACACTGCAAAAAAATAATGTTGTTACTGTTTGACTGCAACATGTTTGTCTCTCAGAGCCTCAGATGTTTTTAGCAGCAGCTGCAAAGAGTACAGATTCAACTCCCTGAAGTTTGGCTGCTTTTAGGATAAAAGTTGCTGGACCGACTTGTCTCCTCTTTGATTTCACCACCTGGTCCGTTGTTCAGTTGGTGGTCTTTCACTTCTACCTCCTGCGGGCTACAAACATCCCAGTGTGTGTGTGTGTGTGTGTGTGTGTGTGTGTGTGTGTGTGTGCGCTCACATACACGCACACCTGGACAACTTATTAGCATGTTAAGTCAGGAACCGGAGAATGGTTTAGCTCCAGGTGCTGATCAGTCATTAATGCATGATCAGTTCTGCAGGTAAATGTTTACCTTAGACTGGTTACACATTACTGGAGGCTACAATGATTAAGCCTTCACTGGAAGTATTTGTAACAGTTTGCAACTGTTTGTAACTGTGGCAGCGCATAGTAACAACTAGCTTGTTTCTTTAAGAACTGGAAAAAAAGCAAACAAGGAAAGTGAGTGGCAGTTCATGGAGTTCACTCCAGAGCATCTCACTTTCTATGAAAACATGGCAATGTGATTTTTTTCTGTCAGAGCAGAGTCCACAGGGAGTGAGAAGGCTTGAAATTACAGTTGAAACGCATAATAATCCACTGACATACTGTGCTTTATTCTGATACAGAAGAGCCTGTCAAACCTGGACTGACCAGCTCCTCAACCAACAATCCTGCAGGGCAGCGACCCCTGGTCTGTCACGCAGTGAAGGTACATATGAAAGATTAATTAAAAAAATATATAAATACACTTTTGGGGAAAGTAAAGTTCACAATATCTCTAACATGTACTCTTCATTCTCTATAGGTGTCAACAAAGACTTAAGCCATCCGTTCTGCGACAAAATATGGGTGATGAGAGATAGGTGTCATTTTGTTTCCCCCTCTTCTCTTAATCCCTGTAAGTACATTTTCTCATTCTCACTCTCATCATGTTAGAGAATGATCCCTCATCACGCCACTGTGCTGCTCCCTTCTCAAGTATCTAAAGCTGTGACTGCAGTTAGTACTGACCCCGGAGGGGCGGCGGTGGGGGAATGGGGGGGGGGGGGGGGACGACGACTCTGGGAATGGGTGTAACAAGAGAGAGAACATACTAGACTGAAAGGGAAACTGAGATAGTGAGCATTGACAGGATTGAGCTCCCAGGTGGGGTGTTACCCTCAGGGGAGGCAACAGCTGACAAAGGTGTGTGTGAGTGTGTGTGTGTGTGTGTGTGTGTGTGTGTGTGTGTGTGTCACATGAGAAGGGATGATAACAATTTGACATGTGGAAGCATCCCAGTGGTTCAAGCTGTGGCCATTGTTGCGGAAATGTTGTGTAAGTCAGATGAAAAAGCACAAATCGAACGTTAGTTAGTCCCTATTCACTTAAAAATCATATTTTCACCAAAATAATAGCGCAAGCTTTCACTCGACAATGGCAAAATAATAGACATTTGCCACATTGACCAGCCTGTTTTTTGATTTTTTACAGTAGCTTTAGGCATGCAGTAAGTGTTGTTGACTTTGCCGCTACCTTCCCATTGTGAAAGGGTGACCTTCCTCTTTCTCCCACTCTCTGTTCTGCTCAGCTCCGTACATCTGTGTCTGTTTACCAGCCTGCCTGTGTCTCCCTCAATCTGAACTGATGAGTGCAACTCACAGCTGCTCCTCTCTTGTTTCCCGCTGCTTGGGTTGTGTGTGTGTGTGTGTGTGTGTGTGTGTGTGTGGTGTCATTGTGCTTGGCGGTGATAGCGCCATGCTCCCAAATCAAAGACGACCGGCTTGCTACCGCAACACACCTCTAATCTCAGAAACAAGAAAAGTTTAGATAAAAGGAGCAAACATGTGTTTCTATTCTATTCTACTTTCATCCCTCTGTTTTTCTTTACACACACACTCACACAAAGACACACCTTAGTGGACACGTAGTTACTGTACATGCTTGTGCATGCACAACAAATATCCACATCCACCGGTGTCACCTGAGCCTTTTGGCCTTCCTCTCTTTACTCTTGTTGATGTTTTATCAGTGTTTTGTCATTTCCTGCTCTATCTTTAACAACTCAACTCAGTTTTAAGTTAAATGGGATGTTACGTTAATTTTGAGGTGTATTTGAGATCAGCAATGCTCACTAGAGGTGAATAATGGGAACAGGAAGTGTATAGTTTCATAGATGGCATGGAGACGTGAAGAAGAGGGAGGTTAAGAACTGAATATGGCTTCAGGCAAGGATGGGATACCTTTGAGAGCATGACATCATCAGGACAGGTGTTGATTGCTGTTGTTGTCCTGAAGTTAGGGCAGGGGGGCCTTCAGGTTGTTTGGCTTTCAGCCTGAACCTGTTGGACCTGTTTTGGACCCTCAGGATCATTTCTCACCTCAGATGGCAGCTGAGAGTGGGAAAGTGGTGCGTTTGAGTTTGAAACATGATGAATAAAGAATTTATAGCCATACAGTAGCTACACAACATGAATTCACACCTTTGTTTAGCACTTTTTTTTTTTTTAATTTTAGGTGTTTAGCTGTCATTTATGTTTCAATGTACATTCAGTGTCCCCTATAAATAAATGATAAACCTTGTAATAGTAAACCGAATGTATTTGGATTTAAGACTTGTTGATTGGACACAAAAGGACAATTTGATGACAAGAATGAAAATAATTGTTAGTTGCATCCTTGGTCATGATTGTTTGATTGTTATAGATGGGGTAGGCAATTTATTTCAGAGGCATTTTTGTTATACTTGTTGAAATTGTCTTTACACCCCACCCATCAATAAATCAATTGGTCTGACACAAAAATGAAAAAAATCCAGTATCTGTGGCTACCTGCCTAACTGCCTGTGTACCTACCTGCCTAACTACACGCACTCTGCCCGTGCACTCACTGCGTTTGTAAATGCATTTTGGGAGAGTGGCTTTGGAGAGAGACTTGAAGGTAGATTGCAAAATCTAGCTGTCTCTTGCTAGTTCTCCAATGTTGCCATTCCCCAGCTTTAAGGAACATTATATTATAATCATATTAGGGCTGGACAATAAAACAATAATGATAATTATCCTGATTCCTCAATAACTGTCAAAAATTTTTTAATTTCATTTATTTGAATCCCAAACAATTATTTATTTTGTTTTGTTGAGGAGTCTTAACTGTTTTGAATATTCTACCTCAGATTTGTGATGCACTGTTTGGCATAAAGTTTTTGTCATGTTCTGACCATAAAGAATAGTTCAACATTCACTCAAGAGCAAAAATCTGCCTATAAACTTGACAGAAATTATGATTTTGCATTGATTGTGATAATTATCGATATCGAATGATATGACATTACACAACATTTTTGGCCATATCGTGCACCCCTCAGTCATATTACAGGCTTAGGTTTGTTATCTTAATTCTACATTTAATGAATTATAAAATGAAGACAATGAGTAGATGTATACATGTTTAAAATACAGCAAAGAGCAGAAAGTCACAGGTAGGCGAGGGACATGACTATCATGAGTCTCAGGAAAACTTTGCAGTGCAAGTTGCCTATGAAATGGTAAAAGGGGCTCTGTGTTGTACACAAAAGATTGTACACAGACTTATTTTTGCTGTCTCACATTGCAGAGTCAAAGCTTGTGTGTAAACGCCACAGTTGCTAATGTATGTACACATACATTTGCATTTCTACATACATTCAAACAAACTTCAGTGGACTGCTGGCTTATGTGGACGTTTTCTAAGCCTCCTGTAAATATTTCTGCGAAAAACACTTTCCCCTTCAGGTAGAACTCGTCTCTGTGTCGTTTTGCCTGTCTGTGCTGGTGCGATGTTTCTTTGGTAATTCATTTGCAATTAGGAAATGTAAATCAGACAGGTGTTGCTGGCATCTATCAGAGTCTGTATTTGTTTTACCTAAGGCATTTCAGATCCTCCCTTTGTAATCACATGCACATGCATGCTTACACATTTGAATACACGCATCCACACAGTCACACCAAGGTCACCTCTACTGATCAGGTAGGGTCTTTCTACATGGGGCAGAGGAGAATTCAGACGGCGCTATACAAAAAGAGATGCAAACTTTTTATTCAGAAGAAGGAATACAGAGTCTGCCTTGTTTCTGACTGACATATGTTCACTGTGTGCGAGAGAAGAACTGGGATCAACACTCTCTGCACATAAGGAGAGGTACAGCTGCTAGATAGCATTGCTTAGTTTGTGTGTGTGAAGTGAGGGAAAGTGTGTGTGCAGGGGAGGGGGAGGGCACACGGGAATGCACACTTTCATGAGTGTGGTTGTGTGGTGGTGGAGGTGGTGTGCAAGAAGTGGCGAGTGACTTCACACAGGCGTAGTAGTAATGAAGCGTGCCAGTGTGGAGAGAGTGGAAGTTAAGTGTCAAACTGGTGAGGAGGAAGGAGGAATCTGCAACATTTGGTTTCCAGTATGTCACATTTCCACCGCATTTTAATCACCTTTATTAATGCCAAATACTGAGCATGAGAGATAAATCCTTGTTTACAAAGACTGACCAATGTGACAAATGTGCAATTTTAATATTTGGACCACGGACAAGCAACTTTTAAAAGACAGTTTTTAATATTCAGATGCCCTCCCACACGCGAAGGCACACACCGACCACATTTATAAACACACACACACATACACACTCACACTGTTTTATACCACTGGCAACTGCCTTATTCCCACCAGCTGTCTGAATGCATAAAACCCAGGCTTGTTGTTAAGTCTGGGGCTTAAAAGCACTGCCAAAAAGAAAGCTGGGCAGGAATAACGGCATTAATTCTGTGATTTGAGCCACCACTCAGACTCAGCATTTAAAAGTGCTTAAAACTAGCAGCTGGTGTCAACAAGGTAATAAAAGCAGGCACAAGGGATCACTCTGCCTGACTCGTTTTGGGCAGCGGGTCGTCTGTGTTAGTTTAAACGATAGTGATGCCGACAGAGGGGAGACACTGGCACGAGACACAGCCTGCCATACTGCCAGAGAAAGAGAGGGCAGTTAGGGTAATGTGAGATAGTAATTTGTAGTTTATCAGCTTGAGTCATAGAAATGTGACATACAATAGATTTGATGCTGGCAAGTCACACCCTCCGTGGTTTGTTTCCTGTGTTGTGATTCCAGTTCAAGCTGCTTCTGAAATGGCTTGAGAGAGCTCCGCCAGTGACGTTACTTTCACTGCAACGTCACCCTCCCTCCCTCCCTTTCAGGTGAAAGGAATCATTTGCCGCAGCTCCTGCCAAGTCAGGAGTTTGGAAAACTTTAATTTCCCTGGCTTCGGAGACGGTGCCAGAGGTTTGATGTCCATTACCCAAGCTTTGAAACAAGAGCTGAGGTGGACTTGGATTGAGCTAAGCACTCTGTGGCAACATTAACTAACCCCACAACCTCTGTATCATCTTTCTTACTGTCTCTCTACCTCTTCATTACTTCCTCCCTCTTTGCTGTCAGTTTCTCTCCTTTGTTGTCCTCCCTTTTCTGTGGGCGTCCTCATCGGCAAGGTTGAGATTCCTGTTAAACAGTCAAAAGTCACCCGCCTGGACCTGTGCCACAGAGTGCATTATAATCCACCTCCTCTCTGCTACCCATTAACTTGTCCTTCATGATGTGGCAGCGGCTTGTAAATGCCTCAGCACTTCAGCACTCAAGCTCCTCTGCTCTTAAATCTACACGCCACAGTCTGTAAAACGTCTTGACTGTCCTCACCACTTTGCACTATTGCGGGTCCCTTTGAAAGTGAAGGATCTTCGCACATCTTAACCGCACAAAATGTGATTTTGAAATTTGGCCAACTTTAACATCACAACTACCAGTAAGAAATTGTTTATGCTTGGCTTTCCATCCTGTGGTCGAGATAAATCTGTGGGCTCACCTGATAAAAAAGCATAACAACTTTTTACTTTTTTGTATGA